GGGGGGGGGCCTGTTCCGTGGCCCTCTCTCTTTCTGGGCCAGTCGGTGGACCCAGGTGCGTGCTGGCCGAGGGGGCGAGCGGAGGGGGAGAGAGAGGGACAAAAAGAGGGAGAGTGGGGGGGGGGCGAGGAACGCGAAAGATAGGGGGGAAGCAGATCGGCCTCTTTCGCATGGGCATGCCCACAGCCGGCCGCCGAGGGGCGCCGGCCCAAGGGGGGAGGTACCCGAAAGAGATGCATGCGCGCGTGTGGGAAAGCACCAACTATCCGCCCCCTGCTGGCCGTGGGCCCCACGGGGAACGGGGGGGGCGTTAGCGTTACGCGCCGCGCGACGTTTGGACTAGCCCCCCGGGCCCGGGCCGGAGAGTCGCCCAGCCGCCAGTGCGGCGGCCATCGGCGACTGTCCCCGGGCAGCCACCGGCTCCGCGCCACCGGGGCCGGACGTGCTTCTCGCCTGTTGCCCTGGCCGGGGGGGGGGGGGCGGGAGCTGGGGAGGCCGCGGAGAACCGCGCGCGCGCGCGCGCGCGCCGCACAAAGCGCCACCCATCGGCCTGGCGGAGGATGACATGTCGGCCTCCGGGAGGCCAGGCGACAGACACAAGCGCGTACACCTATTCGTGCGCCGGGGCGCCGCCCCTCGGGGCCGCGCGGGGCCCGGCCTTGGATCCTCCAGGCCACCGTGGCTCCCCCCCCGGTCCCCTGCCTCGTCCCCTCGGCCAGCGGATCCGGCCACGGCCCGCGGCGGCGCTCGAGCCGCGACCGCCCCCCCCCCCCCCCCCGTGTCCAGGCGCCCCCCTGGGTCGAGGGCCCAGATTGCGCCAGCCTCGTAATACACCCGCGACCGTGACCCTGGCAGATCGGCCGAGCCGGAGAAACCCGGAAAAGAAAACACAAACACCCTCTCCGTACGCCTCCCTCTCCCCGGGGGGGGGGGGGAAGCCGGAGGGCCGAGGCGCCTGGATGGCGGCCTGCGTGCGGAATGGGCCGCGATGGTGACAAGGCCATGCCCAAGAATGATGTCCGAGCACGGGCTGCGGCTGATGCGGGCGGCCCACAGCAAGCAGGGGGGGGGGGGGAGGGGGTGCGGAGGACATTTAGTCGGACTAGGGCTCTGACGCCGGCTGTGCCTGCGGGCCGAAACGCAGGTCAGGCAAGAAAAAGCAGCGTGGTCGCCGACATCGGCGGAGATCACTCGTCACAACAAAAAAGAGGGGCCCCTGACCTGGAGAGCAGGGGCGCATGCATGGAGGCGGTTCCCGAACCCGCCCAAATACGTACATTCTTTCCCTCCCGGGGAGGACCTTCTCCTCCCCGGGCGCCGCCCCGACAGGGGGGAGTTGTGTGTGACAATGCCCCACCAGGGTGTGCAACGTGGGTCGAATCGCCGGCCGGCTGGCCACCGCCGCCGCCACCCCCTGCCGCCGGGGACGGGAGCATGATCGAGGACCGCACGCCGCCAGGGAGAACAAGGGCAGCCCGGGGGGGGGGGGATGTTCGGGGCCCCGGCGGACAACCGGCCCGCACCTCCGAGGGCGCGGAAGGGGGAAGGGGGCCCCGCGCCCCCGGGCCCCCCGCCCAGGAAGGAAAGATGAGTGGGTGCCGTCAACTCCAGCGCCACCGGGCCCGTTCTGAAGGAGCCGAGTGCAGAATGCTGCCCGTGGGCCGATCACGGGCATGGGTCAGCTGCCCCTCGGGCTCCGCATATGTTATTACCCACTTTCACGCGCACATCTGACATGTTGCTTGCTGGGACTTTTTCCTCCTTTCGGACATGTTAGTCATCCTGCTCCATGAGGAAGCGAGCTGGGGCCTGCTCCGTGAGGCGGGGGGGGG